TTAAAGTCAGATTATTGTACGTACAGCCAAAGTAAAGTCAGTAAAAGTTAAAGTCAGATTATTGTACGTACAGCACATTTAAGGTCAGTAAAAGTTAAAGTCAGATTATTGTACGTACAGCCAAAGTAAAGTCAGTTAAAGTTAAAGGCAGATTATTGTACGTACAGCCAAAGTAAAGTCAGTAAAAGAAAAGTCAGATTATTGTACGTACAGCACATTTAAGGTCAGTAAAAGTAAAGTCAGATTATTGTACGTATGTATTTACATCTGTATCTGTGGTGGGAGTCTCCTGCTGTCCCCGGGTTCCTACTCTGCTACAATTACAGCCACTGTTCATAGTGTTATTGCTGTTATTCCTGCTATCATTATCATTATCATTATGAATTGAATTGAATTAATTTTCATTTTGTAATGTCATTGTCTGAACGTGTGTTTGGACTGATTTTGTATTTTGGGATTTTGTGTTGTTTGGTCTTCCTGCCTCAGGACGACAGATGTAAACTAGCAACTATGCTAGAATCTGGCTCATTTACAATCTGTATGAGATTGTTCATTAATGTGCACTGTCCTGATTAAATAAATAAACATTAATATCAATATCTGAACCATTTTACATCCAGTCTGTGTTACTTTGGAGGCTGCCTCCATCTCTCTTGCCCTCTGTCTCTCTCTGTCAGGAGCTGAAACAGGCTGATTTCAGACCAAAAACAGACTCAGTTTAACCTGAGAGGACAAAATGAGGCTTAAAGTGTCTCACTGTTCTCACTGTTTTACACTGAAATGATGGACAGACCTCAGTTTTTCCACAAGAAGCAGAAATATTTCCACAGATTAATTAGGGGAATCTGATAAATTACCAAAATAACTGGTAAATTAAACTGTAAATTTCTACTTTTCTCCTCCAGAACCAGCTCTTATTTCCATTAAAATGAGCTCTGTTCAGCAGATGTTCCAGACAGAAGCAGAAACAGGAGTTCAGGAGCTGAAACAGGCTGATTTCAGAACAAAAACAGACGCTCTGAGGCTTAAAGTGTCTCACTGTTCAGTTTGAAGAAGAATCCTCTGAAAACAGGAGCTGATTTTACACTAAAATGATGGAAAGACGTCAGTTTTTCCACAAGAAGCTGAAATATCCCCACAGATTAATGTGGGAATCAGAAAAATAACTCAAAGAATTCACGTTAACTCAGAATATCTCAGATTTAAACTGTGAATTCCTGCTTTTCTCCTCCAGAACCAGCTCTTATTTCCTCTAAATGAGCTCTGTTCCAGCAGATGTTCCAGACAGAAGCAGAAACATGAGTTCAGGAGCTGAAACGGGCCGATTTCAGAGCAAAAACAGGCTCAGTTTGCCCACCTTCATGTAGAACTCCCTGAGGTTGTAGTAGAGGACCCTGCAGGACAGGCAGCCGAA